AACGAAACTGTTTCGGACCTCTATTTCGAGTCTCCTCACACAATAACAGTATCGGACAGTGGTCAGAACTGGCTTTAGTCAAATGCTGCGTGCAAATGGCCCCAAACTTAGAGTTAAGCCCATGAGTAATCAGATATCTATCAAGCTTTTCCCAAATGCGGCCATTAGACCTCACTCCCGTCCACGTATAAGTAGACCCGATTGTCGGGGGCTGAATAAGTTCACAGGTTTCTATACAGTTGCTAAAGTCCAGCATGTCATTAAGCAAAGGTCCTGCCGGGCCTTTGTATTCAGATAAAGAAGCCACCATGTTAAAATCCCCCCCAACAATCCAGTCTGAATCATCTTCTTGCACAAAATTAGCCAAACCTTCCCACAACCTGGCCCTTTCATTTCGTGTGTGCAAACCATAGACGGGCGAGAAAGCAAAATTAAGATTCATGGGAACGAATGTGAGTTTAACTATCAAAAATTGATCCTTCTCCTGGATAGAGTGAACATCAAATGAGTGATCATTCCACATCAACCAAATTTTGTTAGAAGAGGACATATACAAGTTTGTGAACCCCAATTTGTGCTTAAAATAATCCCCCTTATCTTGATTCACCATGGGTTCAATAATAGTAATCAAGTCAATGAGATAGTGCCTAGAAATTTCACGCAACCTCGGGCACGAAGAGACAAGGCCGCGCACATTCCAAGTAAGAAGCTTCATAAGGAAACATCAGAAGATGAATCCTTTGTGGTCCTCTTAGCAGCCAAACGAGTAGTGACTGCTCGAGGGGGAACCTCCTTGTTTTTCTTCCTTGGGATAGCACCCAGTGCATTAGCCTGTTCTTGTTCAATCAATGCGACCTTTTTTCTCAATTCACCGCAGACCAATTCCCAAGATTCTTTGGTTAGATCATCCACATTGGCCACCTCACCGTCAGAAACAAACCCCTCCCTTTCCACTACCTTTTCTCCATCCTCAATATTACTGCCTTCCTCAAAAGAGATAAGCTTGGTGACATCTGTAGCCTCTTTGATAGGTAAAAGAGAATCTTCTAAATTTATATACCCTCCCTCCTCTGGAGATGTTGTACTTGCAATAAAAACCTCCTCTGTGTGTCCCACAATTTGTGTCTCCACTCCTGCCATCTCACTTAACTCACCATTCAAAGGATGCCCAAGTGCTAAAGATGTAGGCAGTTCTTGAGTGATAGGAGACCCCCCCTTTTCCAATTCTTCAGGAACAGCCTCTTGCGGTTCCTTCCTACTGGATGATTCCGGTATATCCATCAAAGGAGTCAACATTTTGTCTTTCCTCTTGTCGTTAGCTGCAATTTGAATCCACTCAGTAGGGGATTGTTTTGGGGCCGTCAAATTTTTTTCTTTACCCTTATTTTTGTGTGGAACCTGAATCCACTCTTCCTTAGACTGCTGTGCCTTCTTCATTGGAGCTATTGTCTTCTCATTAGGTACAGGATCAGAATTTCTAGTCTCGATGCGCGCCCTAGATACACCACACTCATTTTTGGTGTGGCCCACTCTTTTGCACTTCACACAATATGATGGCAAATCCTCATATGTAACTGATTGAATAATCTCTTTGCTTCCCACCACAATAAGAACTTTAGTCAGTATTTCCTGAAGTAAGTCAATCTCGACACAAACCTTTGCTATGGAGGGTCTTGTCATATTTGCCGTTGCTGCATCCACCTTAAGAGGTCTCCCCACCATTCCAGCAATTGAAAACAAAGCCCTTTTATCATGAAAGTGAATTGGTAATCCCTCAAAATTTATCCAAACCGGTACAATCGACGATTCCACATCAGGATGGAAATCCGGTGTCCACCTCGTTACGCGCATCTTGAAACTTTTGATACTCCACGTTTGCCGTAGCCAACACCTTTGAAAATCCTCCTCCAGAGCAAACTTGAGCAAGATGTGTCGCTGATCCAGTAGTCCCACCGACCAAGAGCCTTGGAAGCCAATTTTATCAAATTCCGTTCTCAAAATGGTCATAGCAGGACGCCCCCTTAAGAACTTTCCTACCAGAGCGAACTTGTATTGATCCGCTAGGTTAAGCTCTTCCTCCTCAGAAAACTCGATTGCTTGCATCCCTTTACGTCGAAAAGGAGTTTTGATCGGAATATCCTTATTAGCTGCTAGAACCTCCGCAAAAGATCTAGCCGCCGCTCCCGACTTAGTGGCCGGAGCGGCCCATGCAGCCGACAATGTCATGCAGACTTAGACGCCAGAGCTCCTAGGGTTAACCCCAAAAATCCTGCCCCTCTGTTTTCTTCTTCTTTGATTTTGAATTTTATTTATTGATTTTGATTAATCTTGACTTTGAGAATGCCATAAAATAAATAACATTTATAAAAATGTCACTTTTATGACATTGCACCTATTAAGATGACAGTATTATTTTAAAATCATAAGACTCTAGAATGTCATATTTTTGTCCCTTTCAAAAAATAATGTCAGTTTTATGCCACTAACTTTATAAAGATGACATTTTCTTACTGCACTTTAACTTTTACATCTTAATGGCATTTTCTTACTAACTTTATGCCACTTAATATGAATAATGACATGTTAATGACATTTTCTTATGGACATATGACATTCTCAGATTGCTATCCTGATACAATGTACTGCCACAAACATGGCAGTTTTTTCATATAACAAATAATTTTGACATACTCAAATTATGAAAGTGGCATTTGTCTGAATAAAATCCAAAAAATCATTTAGAATTTAAAAAGGTAGTAGATGAATAGAAGAAGAAAAAATAGAAAACAGAGTGCAGAAGGGAGAGTCGAAGAAGTGCACCAGGGGAAGAAGAAAAAATAGAAAACAGAGTGTAGAAGGGGGATCGAAGAAGTGCACCAGGGGAAGAAGAAGAAAGAAGAAAGAAGAAAGAGAGGAAGAGGAAGAGGAAGAGGAGTAGGAGGTTACCTACGATCGACGGCGGAGGTGCGATGCGAGGCCTGAGTCAGTGGCGGAGCTGCTACGATGAATTTTTGCAATCGATCGAGAGAAAGCCGATGAATTGCAGAATGATGTAAAGGGCAGAATGGTAATCGATGGTCCTATTTAGGGAATTTACAACATGTAGTCCTATTGTTGAATTTTGACCATGTTTTAGTCCTCTTAAGATCAATTTCTTTTATTTTTAATGTAAATTTTTAATGTTTTTCATTTAGCTCAATGATTACTATATAAATCTAATCTAATTATTGTTTGGTCCAGTCTAACGTTCATTTGTGGATCCACGTTCACTCGCATACTTTTGCCCAAGGTGTATCAGTGCATGACAATTATGGATTACCTACTGGTCATGAACTTACCATTCAATTCGACTAAAAATGGAACACTTTTCAAAATGACACATGCCTACTGGTCATAAAACTAAAAGATGGTAAGTTTGACAAAAATGTGATTTTCAAAAACTAAAGCTTGATATTGTTTAGTACTCCCTCAGTCCTGTATAAAGATACCTTTCTTATTCACTTAGTCAACACAAATCACTCTTAATCTCTTATTTTATACGTCAAAACTTTATGAAATTTGAATTACTTTTTGCAGGGTTTGTAGCGGTTTTAAAGTAGTTTTTGAATATGTAAATATTTTTTCTAAAACTAATTTGAGTGTTAATAGGGATCAATTTGCTTTATCATCGGTCAAACATCGTAAACCGTAAAGTATCTTATAATTCGGGACGGAGGGAGTAAAATAATGTAATTTTTATATAACAGAAATAGTGAAGAGTGGTTCGTTTAAAACATACATCCACATCCATATGTTTAGAGCTTTTAGTTCTAAAGTGCTTAATTTAAGCACAAATTACCATTTGAAAACACTAATTTCAGATTTTTTAAATTAAAAAGTGAGTTCTGTCAAATCTAAAAAGTTCTAACATAAAAACGACCATGTAGAAAATGAGTTCCCTTTTCACCTTAAAATTTATTAATATCTCATATGTATTACATATTTTACGGATCAGTTTTTAATTCTAATTTGCAACTTAAACTAGTATTTAAAGTGTACTTTATTGACAAATTAAATATATAAAAAAATATGAAAAAATGGCTAAAATTCCTACGGTGTAAATAGTATTCAACCAGAAAATTAAAATCAGCTAAAATTTTGGGTTAATAATTAAATGAGTTCTGAAATTAAAATTAAAATTAAAATCAAGTTCTGAATATGTTCTTGTAACTACTTTACTTCTTGTAACTACTTTAATTTCAGAATATAAATTACACAAAAAACCTTCCACGGTATATGTAACAATTGTTTGTGGATCACTAGACCTGAAAGCAAATAGCTCTACCTAATTTTGTCGTTCTGCCCTTGAACGGAGGAAATTGCCCAAATGTAACATAAATAAGAGTTGTTAAGTCTTAATTGTTTTTAGCCAAAGTCTTAATTATTACTCAGTATTATAATACGGAATATAGATTATTAAATTCAGTATAGAACTTTCAAATGAATGAATCCTATTTAATTAGGAAGAGAAAATTGGATATGTAATTACGAGTGAGTTGTTTATCGGAAGCTGTCCCCTACTCCACTTACCTTTCTCAAGTTTTGTAAAGGACTGTTTACGTTTGTCTTAGTTTAAGTGATTGAGAGGGCTACTGTAATTTGCTGGTCTGGTCTGGTCTGATCTGGTCTGATCTGGTCTGATTTCTTTGTATTTTTATAACTATTCAAGTCTGGTCTGGTCTGGTCTAGTCTGGTCTGGACTAGTCTGGTCTGGGACAAATTACAGTCCAAGTAAAAACATCCTTAGGTATGAGCCTTGTCTTAGTTTAGTAAGTGATTGAGAGGGCTTATATTGGGAGATATTTTTGGGAATAATATTTATAAGTGTTTTATTATGGCTAGAATATTCTCTCATTAATACTTGTTATATTTTAGCCTACTTTTAAGGATGACCGATCTAATAGATCGGCATCACTCTTGTATTTATATTGGCCGATTGGCCTATGAGGAAGAGGGGAAGATAATTTATCTTTCGAATACTTATTCCATTATTTTATACCTACGTATTTTACATAAAGTAACATGGTATCAGAGCTTTTGCGTTAATTGACCACCGTACTTCCGCAGACATGCCGATGGACGAAGAAGGATCGATGCCGGCACAAAAAATTGACTACACTTTTACCAATTATGAAGAATGGTCCCATGCTGGAGCTCCTGGCAATCCTGGGGCAACACGAGGCAGACCTGCTGCAAAGACCCATACCGCAGTTGCTAAAACAGTAACCAAGCCGACACAAATCCATGTTGAAGGAAGTAGCGGACAGAACGCTCCTCTGCCAGGATTCACGACCGTGCAATGGAATTCTTTACTCTCCGTGTTTGGTAACTCCCTCTCTACTAACGATCGCATGGCCGGTAAGTTTAATGATGATGCCTGGATTATTGATACTGGTGCTACAAATCATGTGTGTGGAAATCAATCCTTGTTATGTCATATTAAGAATGTTGAACCATGCACAGTTGGTCTGCCTGATGGACAGACAGTTTTAGCTACACTGGAGGGGAGTGTACGATTTACAAATGAGTTGTATTTGCATAATGTGCTCTTTGTTCCACAATTAAAGTGTAACCTTATTTCCGTATCTCAACTGAGCGATGAACTAAATTGTTTTGTTCAATTCACCTGTAATTTATGTGTTATACAGGACCGTCCCTCGAGGAGGCTGATTGGAATGGGAGAACGGGTGAATGGACTGTACTACTTACGAGAGAGAACAGTAGCACATGTATTGACAGTCAAAGATTCGAAGAATGCTGTGGCGGAATTGTGGCATCAAAGGATGGGGCATCCCGCTCCTCACATAATTGAAAAGTTGGCTCCCGTAAGTGGACTGAAAAAGTTTGGAAATTTTCCTTGTGATATTTGCTTTAGAGCTAAGCAGACACGAGACTCTTTTCCTACTAGTTTGAATAAAACTCATGCTATTTTTGAGATGATACATTGTGATCTGTGGGGCCCATATAACACCCCTTCTTCGTGTGGAGCTAGATATTTTTTGACAATTGTTGATGATTATTCCCGTGCTGTGTGGGTCTACCTGCTTATTGATAAAAAGGAAGTTTTCAAAATGTTCCTTTCATTTGTTGCTATGGTGGAACGTCAGTTTTCTAAGAAAATAATGCGTGTTCGAAGTGACAATGGGACCGAGTTTAATTGTTTGAAAGAATTTTTCAGCACTAGTGGCATCATATTTCAAACTTCTTGTGTTAGCACACCCCAACAGAATGGACGTGTTGAGCGTAAGCATAGACACTGTAAGGAATAAATGTAATTAGATTTTGATGATGCTATAGGATTAGAATTTTAAAGTACCCCCAAATTAGATTTTATGTATTAGAATTTTCAGCTGTAAGTATTAGTGTAGTCGACGATCAGAGTTGCTCTATTTTGGATCAGATCAGAAGTGCATCAGAACTGCTCTACCAGACTTGCTCTATGAGAACTGCTCCATCAGAGTTCTCTTACCAGAAGTCCATCAGAGTTGCACCATGAGAGTTGCTGATAAATTTGGACATCTGATAACCGATGAGAGTTACAGATCAGAGGTACTCATCAGCGGACCTATCAGAGTCAGAGTTAGAGTTCAGTCAGAGATCAGAAAGCCATCAGAACTCAACTCATCAGAAAGCCATCAGAATCCAACACATCAGAAGATCCTGATCAGAGCCCGACTAACACTTAGAAGATTTCATGCAACATCCAACAGCTATGAATCCAACGGGTAAAACATCCAACGGCTAGAAGACTGTGCATGAAAGGAAAGCATTTAATGCACATTAAATGAGCCTGATACGCTGAAGGATTGATTGCAAATGATTGACCAAGGAATCCGGGAAGATATATTATAAAAATAGAAACCTTCCAAAAACGGCGGTCAAGTCAACTGTACGCACATTTAATGCAGTTGTCCCCTCCTCTAACGGGCAGACAACCCCAGTATATAAGCTACTCTACGAAGAACTGGAAAACAACTTTTGCTACAACTTTTGATCATCATTCAAGCTCTCTTGAGATTCAAACTCTACAACCTTCAACAAGACAAGCTTACGTTGGGAAGATTCAAACTCCAAATCTCTCATCCCCAACAAACAAGCAAAGTTCATCCTGTTCTTCAACACTTCAAGAACTTCATCAAACATCCTTTGTAACGAAGCAAGTTGGAGGAAAAACTTTGTTTTTCAAAGGATCTTCTGCAAAGAAGGGCGTCCAAGTAACTGCAGTAGTGAAGTGGTGATACTTCCGGGAAGCTGAGTGAAAGGATCAGCCATCAGGACGTGGAATTGCATCCTGGGTGGCATCTAGACTTGAAGAAGACGAGGAGTGCTTCTTAAGTGCTAGGAACTAGCTTTGTAACCGATCTACTTCAAAGCTAGTGGAACAGTGGACTAGAGGAACGCGTTGTTCCTTGAACCACTATAAAAATATCCGGTGTCATTTACTTTACTGCAATTTATATTTCTGCACTTAGGACATTAACTGATTAACTCTAAGACTTGGAATCTGTGTTCAGCAGATCTTGTTTTCAGAGTTATCAGAAAGGCATTTGCCTTAGTGTTTCTGAGGCTACCCAGACAGATCAGAATCCGCTGCCAAGGCCAGTTCTGATATCAGAACCAGCCTTCCTCTGTTACCAGAGTAAGACCCTCTCTGATAAGTCAGTTTGGACTTAGAGAAAAATTTGAAAAACCAATCAGTCTATTCACCCCCCCCCTCTAGACTGATTACCATTTAATCGGGACCAACAAGTGGTATCAGAGCCTCCTTGTTCTTGTAATCTTTTAGGTTACTCTCTGAACAAAAGATCCACTTGTTCTTAGCCTCTATTTACTTACTATTATGGATAACTCTCTTGCAAAGCACCTCATGTTTTCAGATCAGAAGTATGATGACTGGAAGATCAGAATGAAAGCACACCTCTGCGCTCTTCATGATGAAATGTGGGAAGTTCTTGAAGAAGGACCTTTCACCAAATTTATGAAGGTGAATACTGAACATACTATTGACAGGACTCAGCCTGAGATGATTGAGAAAGCCAGATCAGAATGGACAAAGGAAGAGAGGAGACAGTACAATCTTGACAATATTGCCAAAGATATCCTCTACAAAGCCATCGACAACAGATACTTCAACAGAATCAAGAAGTGTCGAACTGCCAAAGAAATATGGGACAAACTTGATCTCATAGGAGCAGGTGATGAACAAGAGAGAGACAACAAACTGACAATAGCTATGAAGAAGTTTGATGACTTCAAACTTCTACCTGAGGAATGCATAGCTGAGATGCATGCCAGACTTCTGATTCTTACCAGTGAGATATCCGAGCTTGGGAAGGAGCTCACAGTTAAAGAAGTCAACCTGAAGATTCTCAGAGGACTGCCCCCAGTCTGGAAGATGAAGGTTATTGCTGTCCAAGAAAGCAAGGACATCAAAACCTATCCCACAGAGAAACTGATATCTGACCTCAAAGCTTATGAGTTTGAGATGCATGATGAGAAAGAAGAAGTGCCAGATGAGAGAACCACAACTGCTCTTACTGCCAGCACTTCTAAGGCTACAAATTTTGATCCCTCAACTCTTCTATCTGATGAATATATGGCTGCCTTTGCCAGAAAATTCAGAAAGTTTATGAAGAAAGATGGAAGGAGTCCATCTTCCATCAGAAGACCACATCAGAAGACCAAATCTTCTGAAAGCAATGGAGAGTACCTCTGCTACAACTGTAGACAGCCTGGACACTTCAAGGCTAACTGCCCCTTCCCAAGAGTGTCCAAGAAGCAAGGACAAGAAGAAGAAAAGAAACCAGATGATCAACATAGAAGGAGAAGAGCCTTTATCTCAGAACAAGCTGAGAGAGATCCACTCTCTGAATCAGAGTCCAGTTCAGACTCCGACTCTGATGAAGCATTCTGCTGCTTGGATGCAGAGACTGAAGACCTTTGCCTCATGGCACAATCAGATGATGAGGTATGCTCTACTTCTGATTCTATTTCTTCTTCGGTAGGCACAGCCTTAAATGATGATCCAATGTCATCATTCTGGGAAGAGTTCCAAACTATCCAAACCACTTATTCTTTTGTTAAAGAAGAGAACAGTAGGCTGAAAGTTGATATCTCTAATCTAAGGAAAGAGACTGAGTGTAAACTTAATTTCTTAACTGAGGAAAGAGATAGACTGAAAGCTGAAAATGAGTCTCTTCTGAAAAGAATAAGAGACTTTGAGGAACTTGAGAGTAGATATAATAGTCTTCTGAAGATGCAATCTTCCATGAAGAATATTGGTGACTCTCATAACTTCACCTCTGGTCTTGGATATGTTGAACCAGAGTCTGGTGAGCCTTCTGTAAGGCCTAGCACCCAAGTTGCTAAGGCTAAAAAGGTCATAGTGCCACAGACTCTGAGCCCCAATTGCCATGCTAGTACTTCTGGTACTAAAGTTGTTCATGAGAAGGTCATACCAGAGAAACAAACTCTAAAGGCAAAACCAAAACAAAGCCTGAAAACTAATGAACCTGGCAGACACTCTAGGAAAAGGAAAAGTTTTCAGAACAATAATAATCAAAGGCCTAACCCTATCAGACAATCTCATGACAATGGTATCAGAAACTGCTATCAGAAAGGCAGATATCAAGAGAAGATTAACTATAGGCAGAAGAGGTTGTCTGGTCAACCTCAGAAGTCTAAAGTTAAGCGCTCCTCTGATCTTGATAGTATATGGGACTTCTTTCCAACCAAGAAGGCTATGCAGAAGTATGCAAACAGAAAGCATGATCCTCACAAGCATCTGCCCAAAGTGAATCATACATCTGTTTACTACAACTACCAGGTGGACAATGGGTACCATCCACCAAGGTTTCAGCTGATGAGACCAAAATGGTACCAACTACCGAGACTGCATTACCCCCCAGGACCCAACATTGCTTGGGTACCTAAATCTTCTTTTTAATCTTGCAGGAACTGTGTGCTGGAGCCATCTCAGAAAAAGAATGGTATATTGACAGTGGATGCTCCAGACACATGACAGGTGACAAGAGTTGCCTATCAGAGTTCCAGAAAATCAATGGACCCAGAGTCACTTTCGGTGGAAATGACAAGGAAGGGCAAACAAAAGGAAGAGGGAAGCTGATCAAGAACCAGATAATCATTGAAGATGTCTCATATGTCAAAGGTCTAAAGTTCAACTTGCTGAGTGCTAGCCAATTCTGTGACAAAGGCTACACAGTTGAATTCACCAAGACCTTATGCTATGTCAAGCATGAGACAACCAAAGAAGTAGTTCTTACAGCCAAGAGAAGGAAGAACATCTATGTTGTTGACTGGCAAACAGCAAAAGATGGAACCTGCCTGATAGCTAAAGACAATTCAAAGCTAAGCTGGGACTGGCACAAAAAGCTTAGCCATCTGAACTTCAAAACCATCAACAAACTGGCAAGGGAACACATTGTAGATGGTCTGCCTGACATTGTCTACAAGAAGGAGACCCTCTGCAGTGCTTGTCAGAAAGGCAAACAAGTGAAGACCTCATTCAAACCCATAGCTGGAGATCTTTCTACTTGTCCTCTAAATCTGATCCACATGGATTTATTTGGACCAGTTGAAACTCCCAGTGTTGGTGGAAAAAGATATACTCTTGTTATGGTTGATGACTACTCAAGATACACATGGACTTTGTTTCTAACCAAGAAGAATGAAACTCTTCAGAAGTTGCCATCTCTGCTAAAGCAACTTCAAACTGAGAAGAATTTGAAGGTCAGAACAATCAGATCTGACAGAGGAACTGAATTTGTCAACAAAGTGATCAAGGACTTCTGTGATCAGAATGGCACCTTTCATCAACTTTCTGCTGCCAGAACACCCCAACAAAATGGTGTTGCAGAAAGAAGGAACAGAACACTGAAGGAAGCTGCAAGAACTATGATTGCAGAATCAGGACTGCCCATCAGATACTGGGCTGAAGCTATCAACACTGCATGCTACACTCAGAACAGGAGCATGATCCACAAGAATCATCAGAAGACCCCCTACGAGCTGTGGAAAGGAAG